CTTCGATGGCATTTCTTAAATTAATCATTTAGGAATCGGTCAGTCAGCACTGTGCGATACGCTTTAACGAGCATTCGGGTATCATGGAAATTTGTAACTTTTGATTTTTCCAGAAATCGACTCCATTTCTAGGCCACTGGCGCTCCTAGTTCTTGGGCTTCTCTTGACGTCCGTTTTTATGCATTTTTTGCAGCTGTGCTATGCAGAAAATGCATACTGACGAAGGGTTGTCTGTGTGTGTGTGTGTGTGTGTGTTTGTCTATGTGTTCGTCTGTACCGACTGTACCGATTTTTCATCTCGAGACCTACGAAAGCTACGGGACTGAAATTTTGGGAACTTAATCTGCATGCATGTGCGGGCTGCCATCCGCAAAATGGGCGCCATTACTCGCGTGATATCCACGTACGAGCCCGTCAAAGTTTTTTACGTGCAAATTACTAACTCAGAAAGCAGAGAAGCTGAAAAGCTGAAATTTTAAGGGGATGTTCCCCATCCAACTATGTGTTAGTGAGCTCAAATCCAGCCCCAGGGTATGCATGGTACCCACGTACGGGCCCGTGAAAGTTTTTTCTTGTAGGTTACTAACTCAGGAACCTGAGAAGTTAGAAGACTGGAATTTCGAGGGGGTGTTTCCTGATAGTTCTGGTGGCCAGTCTTAATCTGTCTAGTTGGAACCATTCGCCGGAAAAACCGGTGCCGGTAGGACAGAAGCTGTAGGAAACTATGCCAAAAACGCACCTTCACATGGGCAGCCCGTGCGTTTGCCAATTATTTTCATTGGGACAGCCTCTGATTTCGGACATTTGGGAGCACAAAGGAAGAACATTTAGGCCGAATTCAAAATCTTTAAACCATGCGTGGATAAGGAACATTCCCTTAAAATCCCAGCTCCCCAGCTTTTCTGGTTCTCGAGTCAGTATTCTTCGCGCCAAAAATTTTACGTATCTCTGAGTTCCAGATGTACGTGAGGCTCAGACACGCGTGAGAGTTGATACTACTTTCCTGGGTTGGCGTTTAGGTGCATTTGGCAACTTTCCAAGCGCCGTTGACCAGTACGGCACCACCCGATGGTCAGCATGCTGACGACCTCTGCTTGCATATTTCTTCTTTTTTGCATATTTTTTATACTTGTTTATTTTGGCATCGATAGTTTTGTCACTGTCTCATTAAATTTAGTGCGAAATTACACCAAGTTTTTTTCGCAGATTATGCATTTTTTGAAAAACGCTCACACTAAAGTGCTGTAGCTTGACACCACTGTAGTGAATGGAGCCCTTCGTCAAAAGCTGTTATGGAGCGGCAGGGAATCGAACCATTCCCCTTCACATCCGCACGTGTGACGTGCTACCCACTACGCCACCGGCCTCACACTCCGGGTTCAGCCTGGCAGCACATCTACTGTGTATTTGCCTTTCATGGTAGAATACACGGTTTTTTTCTTCCCTGCTTACCATGGGCAATTTTTATATTTCTTTTTGAGCGGTATCTTCTTTGCTGGCTTTTCGTGTTTTTTCCGCTACAACCGCGTTGTGGTTATAGCGGAAAAAACACGAAAAGCTACAACCGCATTTTTTCGGCTACCTTTTTCCGCTACAACCGCTACCTACCCTTTTAAAATTATTGGTGGTATTTGGGGCATAATAGTGACAAGGGCATGGAAACTGCGTTGAGTATAAACAATCGAAAATGGGAGAATAGTTTTATTATAATTCATGGAGGGGGTTGGGGGG